CACACACACACACACACACACACACACACACACACACACACACACACCAACCAAAAAGCAGAAACAAACCAAATTTAAAAGAAAAAAAATCAAAAACCAAATAAAACAAATAAGCAAAACAAAACAGAAGAAAAAAGCAAATCAAAACAACAAAGACAGAAGAGTCTTGACGTGGAAGCTGTAGTGTGGCCTGCTGAGTCACACAGCTTTCCCTTTCGTTCATTCATCTTTGCTTGCAAGGGCTCATTGCCAAGAGTCATTGGTCTGGCCCAAGGCCTCTGACTTCTGCTACAGCACCGATAAAGGGGTCACTCTCATGGGGGCTCCTCTTGGATACCCTATCATGGAGCTCCTGCCATTTTGGATCTGCAGTTCAACCCTTTCACATGGTCCAGCAGTCCACAGATGGGTTGAATGTTGGTACGGGCCAACTCAAAGGCTTGGTTCTGGGCCTGGGTGGTAGCTGGGTTGGTCAGCCTGCCAGCCTTCCCTCACCCTTACTACCCAGGCGAGCTCTCCAGCACTGCCTCGGCTAGCTAGCCCAATGCAGCCTGCAGCAAGGCGCAGGCTACTTCTCCGGCTCTCAGGTCCTTGGATCCTGTTCACTTACACTCATGCCACTAGGCCAGCATTACTGTCTTGCCCAGGCGAGGTGCAGGTCCTTCGGGGGACAAATGAGGGAGGTGGGCAGGGTCAGTTCTCTGGCTCGCATGCCGTTAGGGCTGCCTCACCGGAACCCTAACAGCAGGGTCAGCTTTAGTATGCTCCTCAGGGGTGCAGAGCCCGCTTTCTTGTGTGCTGCAGCAAGGGAGGGGCAGGGTTAGCGTCCCCATCTTTGTGACTCCTGGGCCAGCTCCCTCACCTGCTGCAGACAGTAATGGGTTGGTGGGGGAGGGGTCCTTTCACCTATGGTACTACATGGCAGACAAGGGGAGAAAGCCGTCTCTCCTGCTCTCACACCCATAGAGTTGGCTCATCTGCATCCCCTGACATAGGGTCAGTTCTAGGGTGCTGCCCCGGGGAGGTGCACACTCATGGTGAGTGCTGGGGCCAGTTCTCCCCTGAGGGGCAGGACATGCTCTCCTGCTACAGTATCCAGCAAGGGGCAGGGCCAGCAATTTCAGGTCCAGAAAAGGGCGGGGCTGGCCCAACACACTATGGTTCTAATGACCCTTTGTGCTAATCCACCATGGACATCATCACAGCCCCAGCTGCATCAGGACCAGGGACCCAGATATGACTCTTGGCAACAGGCATGCTTAAGTCTTTAAAGACAGCGTCTCTGTGGTGGAGGGGTTTTACTGATGAATTCATATCATCTCCCTCCACTTCCTGCAACCCTTTAGATTTCACAGTTTAAAACACAGCATCTCAAGGACTTAAGTAGACAGTGTCTTCCAATAACTGTATTTCTATATACATTAGCCACTTACCCTTTGTAATCTTGGGAATTATTAGGGCCTGCAATTCACTATATTAACCCAAACCATCATCATTTACTTCAGCAGAAATAAAATTAAGCCGTTAGCAGGAGGCCAAAGGCCCAGCCGCCGTTCCTGTACAGTTTGGATGGATGCAGATGAAATTACAGAGTCACATTTTATCCGCTGGATGCTGTCCCAATTGCAATCGTAGTTACCTCAGAGAGTTCAAAGACAGCAGAGGAGGAGGAAGAAGGTGCATCCTCTGAAGGAATGCCTGGGCCTTGGCGGGGCAGGCTTTCTTTTGCTCTTGCAACAGAGACCATAGGATGCAGTGTTCCCCAAGCGTGAACGGAGCTGTCTGCAGACTTCCCTACTGCTGCAGCTGGGGTGGGGGTGGGAAGCAGTAGAGGTGGAAAATGGCTGATTCGGATGCTTCCATTATGTCAGGGCCAGAAACAGAATTGAAATGACCCAGATGGTTAGCCTAATGAAGCGCATCCAGAGTTGATGCCAGAAGGAGTGAGAACCATACTCCTCGCCCTGTGTGAATGGGAGCGTGTGCATGATTGATTTTTTGGCTAAAGAGGTCTTGCAGGGATGGGAGTGAGTCTGCAGGGCCAAGACAGATGAGAACTGGAAAGAATCACGGCCAACCGGAGCCTTTTGCTTCTATAGTTTCGCCTCTGACTAAATTTCACCTCTCAATTTCTCCAATATGGAAAAGCCCCTTCCCGTGGCTTTGCGAACAGATAGTATCTCCTGGGAGAGAACTCTTCCTTCAGGATAAGGCCCTGGAGGCAGAACCCCCAGAGCAGGGGACATCGATGCTGATGTTCTAGGGCTCTAGTCCAAAACTTTATCTTGAATGAGAACCACAAGTCACACACTACACAGTCACCTGTGCATCGACCATGGTTGCCGGCAGGGACAGAGGTATGACCAGCACCACTGTTGCTGTGGCTTAAAACAGCATGATATTTTAATTAAAGAACTTAATATATGTAAATCTAGAGAACAGTGCTGGGTGCGTGGCACATACCAATTAGCTGTCAGTCGTCACTCGTTACTCTGCTTATTCACTCAGCCCAGTCGCTGCTCCTTCTACTGAGCCTCCACTTCAAAGGCTTTTCCTTAATAAACTCAAAGCGCCATGGAGTTTTGAGAGGGTGGGAAAGGAGACAGTTTATGACAATGTGTCATCTTAGATAATTGGGAAGGGGCCTGAGTTTCCTCACTTGACGCTGTGGAGGGTCCCCGGGGTCCTCCCGTCAGTAGAGAACATTGTGTATCAACAGTCCACTGCCGTCATCAGCACTGCAGCATGGTCGTCAGGGGAAGAGGCATTTTATGTTCATCGCCCTGTTGATCCTCACAGGTTACATTGAAGTTGGGCTTTTCCAAGAAACCGAAATTTCTAACACCCGAGACATTTGTTAAAAACAGCATTCTCTTTCCCCTGCAAAGTGCCTCATCCGTGACATGTTGTCTACATACATGACTGTACCGTGAGCTATATTACCGTTATCCTGATCTGTTGCTGAGCCAGCGGTGGCTCAGAGATGTTCATTGATTGCCAGGATCACATAGCCAGGGAGTACAGAAATGAAGACGGACTCTTTGTCTCCAAGCTTTTGCTATTAAAATAGGGCTGCCTTGTGAGACAGACTTGCCATTAAGCCGTATTGGTTCTAATCCCATTTGAATGAGTCCAAGACACACTTGCTTGCTAATAAATCCTATTGGTACTATTGAAGAGCTGAGGGAGTAAAATGTGTCCTAGGGAAAACAATACTTCAGAAGCACCGCTTGCCATATGCGCCGAGCAGGAGAAATTAAGTGAAAAGCAACCAAATTGACGAGGGCTTTCAAAGATACAGGGATGTAAACAATCTGAATTAAAGACATGATGTGGTATTGGCTACAGAGTCTGTGTTTGTGTGTTGGGGGGATGACGGGCATTTAAATAGACTGAGCTCTTGTCTGATAAGAGGAAGAAGCAGATTGAAACTCCCATAGCTTTGGTGTTTGGGATGTGGTATGGTGTTGAGATGGCAGGGTGAGGGGGGATAATGACCCTTCTCCCTCTGTTACTGGGCACCGCCCAGTGCACTCTCTCTCCTTGGCCTTACGTTTGGGGAGAGAGCAGCGTGGGAAATATATCAGGAACAGTGGTAGTGGTGGTGGTGGCTGGGTTTGTCCCTTTAGTTACAGTATGAACTTTCTGGCTCCTGTTCAGCTCCATGGCTGTCTGTTGATGAATTGCTCATAATGGAGCTATATGTCTTGAGGGCTGGACAGCACCCAGGAGCTCTGGCATGGCCTCGTTTCATATTGTGAAACTCCCAGCAAGTTGTGCCCCTTTGCGGAACCCTGCCGACAGCAGGGAACCCTTACTCCCAGGGATCTTAGGAGAAATAGTCAATAACCATGAATG